ACTATGCTTCAGTACAGAAGAGAGTAGTCAGACTTTTATTTGATGATCCCCCTGCTAAAATAATGTAATGCTTTAAAAATTTTTAGAGTGTATTTTTATACATTGCTTCATTCCATAAAATATGAAGTAAGAATATGACTCTGAAATCCACAGAGTCTGAGAAAGAGCTACTAATAAAAGAGCTTTTCAGGATGAGGCTGATCTGAAATGGGAGCCCCGATTCAGTCCAGCCTCCTAATGAAATTCCAGAAGACTCTGAAATTATTGCAGATATGGGCCTCTCATAGTGAGAGCTTGGGAGAGCCACTCAGGGCTCTGTTACTGTCCTTATCTATAAATGAAAGGGCTGAAGTCCAGGACTCCTTCACGGTGTTTTACTGTAGGGCTGGTTATCCTGGGCCTCATCACAGGACAGGAAAGAGTGATGCAGAATGAATAAACTGTCATGGGCTCCTTTTGCTTTTACTCAGAATTACAACAGAGAGGAAAGAGAAGGAAATAATAGAACCATATTTCTCATCTGTAGGTTGATCTTTATTTGTATTAATGACCTATTTATTCTCTTTTCTGTCAAGAAATAAAAGTCCAAATTCAGTATTTTTCCTTTTTTCCTTCTATATTTACGTTCAATCTGGCATCCTCAGAAATATAATAGATAAAAGTAGAATAAAGTGATACACAGTGAAAAGTAAAGGCCAAGAAACAAGATTATTTTTTACTTTATTTTATTTTTTAAGGTATTTATTTTGTGAGAGACAAAGAGAAACAGAGAATCCCAAGCAGCACAGAGCCTGACAAGGGGCTCAAACTCACGAACAGTGAGACCATGACCTGAGCCAAAACCAAGAATCAGTTGCTTAACCAACTGAGCCACCCAGGCACTCCAAGATTATTTTTTAAAGAAAACTAGTTTTCTGAACATTACCAAAACCAAAACACTTGATCAATTATTTGTTTTCTAACTCATAATGGTAAGTTTTTTAAAAAGGTTGAGATATATTTCATATGTGTTATCTACTATAAATCCTCCCAACAAGAATCCCCAGTTATAGTCATTTTTATGAAACAAATGTTTATGTCACCCATTCTGTCACCCTATTAATTCAAATGTTCAAGACTTATTTTTACAGATGGTTGTCAGAGAATACATGTGTTTGTAAACTGTGCTTATTTAGTAACTAGCTTCAAAACTGAAAAACAAATGGGAAGGATGGTTTTGTCATTACCTACCCAACGATGATGATGGAGAACGTCCCAAAGGGAGCCAAATTCACTGGTTCTTGCTAAGGCAAGGCTGCTGCTGATAATCAAATTCTTTACTCCTCTGAGGGTGAAAGAATGCTATGGTTTGGCTTGGCTACCGGGAGGCTTCCTAATGGCTAAATACATCAGTTCATATTTACCTTTAAGAATATGCAGAAATTACCACAACCATTCTCAGCTCACACAGACTCAAGGGCTTGTATCTTCCTATGAGTGGAGTTAGGTCTCCAGAGCTATTAGCTTTTTATCAAAGTTCAGTATTTAAGGGTGACATAAAAGTAGCACTGGCTCATCTCAGTATTTTTTATTAACTCTTAAAATCGTGTTTAAATCTACTTAAATAGATGAAAACACTTTCACATTAGATACTTTTCTCTAACAGTTGTACGTCTGCTCTGAACAAGATTTTCACTACGCTTCAGACTATCTTGTCACAGTTTAATGGAATCACTGACATTCCACACAAATAAAATGAATCACATGAAACAGAAACAGTACAAACCTACACGTAGGCTAATTTAGATACATTTATTGAAAACTTAAGAAGTGCTGGGCTTCCTGGCAAACACAAAGATGAAAAAGACATAGTCCTCGGCTTGAAAGAGAGAATCCAGCTGGGGAGTTAAGCTAATAAACACAAAAGATAAAGGATAATAGAAGGTTTAAATAAGATTTAAGTTAATAATGGAAGACCTGTGACAGGATAGCAGATGGTTATCAAAGGAATCACTCTGTTGAGAATACTGACTGGGCTCAGAAGGGAAAGCTGGTCAGGCGAGGGTCAAGGTCCCCGGCCGAGGAGGTCTGCAGACATGACCAATACAGGTAGAGTTCACTGTGGAACCAGGTTCCAAGTTTCAGGACTAGAAGAGTTGGCAAAATGGTTTCCCTGATAATCAGTTCTTAAGAGAACCCCTCTCAGCTGGCAGAATCAAGTTTACCAGGCTAGCCACCCCCCCCCCGCCCCCCCAAACAGGACCTGTTTCACACTAGGGAATGAAGCCCATACCAGTATAGCTTCCCCAAACCCAATCCGCACTTCCTTCAGTAATCCTGCATTTCTTTGTGTCTCTGTAAGAAGGTCCTATTGGTAGGTTTGGGTCCCCTCTTGCTGGAGGGAGAGAGAGCTCATAAAAATGTTTCTATCAGGGGGCGCCTGGGTGGCTTAGTCGGTTAAGCGTCCGACTTTCGCTTAGGTCATGATCTCGCGGTTTGTGGGTTCGAGCCCCGCGTCGGGCTCTGTGCTGACTGCCAGCTCAGAGCCTGGAGCCTGTTTCAGTCTATGACTCCCTCTCTCTCTGACCCTCCCCTGCTCACGCTGTCTCTCTCTCTCTCTCTCCTAGAAATAAATAAAAATATTAAAAAAAAAAAATGCTTCTATCAGTTCTGTGGGGACGTCTTTTTGTTCCCCTTCTCCAAAGTAATTTTTTCCCAGGCAAGGTAGCCCTCCCTGAGAGTGTGAGTGGAATTCAGGCCACATTTCTTTAAAGCACCTCACATGTGATACTTTCTTCCTGAATAATCTCAGAGTAGCTGAGAGCTCCAGTCTGATGGAGAAACCACTGCATCTTTCTATTACCACATCCACATGAGGCTGAAACCACCTCCAACTGCTGGAAGTACAGGGGCAGCTTGTAGTGGAACTACAAACATACCTTCCCCAGCATTTTTCTTCCGCTTCTGACACTTTTCTGTCTGCTCCTCGGAGCAGACTCACTAACCAAGGGAATTTCCAATTGGTCAGAGACTTTTGGATGGCAGGAGAAGCTTTCAGCCATCCCGAACCCTCTCTTAGGTGTCCCGAGAGATCTGGCTGCTCAGAAACTCCCATACAAGGCAATCCAGTCCCTGAAGCCACCTCCTGAACTAAAAGATACACAGAATTCTGAGGTGTGGATGGGGATATGGTACCAGCAATATGTTCACTGTGGTTCTTGGTGCTGCCTGGACGGACTCTCGTTGAGACCCAGGAGCATTTCCTGTATGATGTGGGGATGTCAGGGTGTTCTGATCCAATGTGTCATTCCACGTGTCCATAGGGCTAATCTCGCCGATCAGACTGAGTCCTTTTTCCTCCCTTGCCCAAGGAGCGTTCCTCCCATACCAATGCACAACAGGTAAGAGCCTTCCCAGGTAACTAAGGAGTGTTCTCTGGTAAAGGGGAGAAAGGGTATTCAAGGAACTGAAACACCTGTGCTAGAAACTCAGTATGAGCTCAGTCCTTCACAGGAGTGTCCGTCTGCCCATGCTGTCGAGTCAGAGTCCCCCCATAGGGAAAATGTCTCAAACAAGAGTGAGGTGGACAGTCCTTTGCCGGGAAACACATACTTGGTGTACCCTCTTTCGAAAAAAACCCTGGTCCCATTAGTAGGATTCCAAGGTAAAGTCCTCACAGTGCCTATAAGATGCATGAAGGGAGTTCCTAAACTCACCAAATTAGTTCAATGGAACTCCAATAACAGTTGTCATATTTACCACAGCTATGTCCCAGCAAAAGAATTCACCCAGCAATAAGAGACAGAGCCTAACATTATAATTCTCAGTCACAGAATTCTGAAAACTGCATTCTAACACACACTGGCTTCATGTAAGGAAACCAACAGAAAGATCAGGCAGAATCACAGCATAAGCAAAGGGCATGGGGACAGATGATCTGAAAAACAGGTAACTATGCCTGCTTTTTGAGACCTGAAGCAAGAGCTGAGGAGAGAGAATGGAGATCCAAACATCTCATCTAAACCTTCACAGAGCTTAAGTGTTAACACACCGACAACTGATTCATCCTATTCCCTGAAAACTGAAATGCTTACACTTCCAACCATCAACTGCCAGCAACATCCTCCCTGCAACAGAAGACTCAAGGTGTGACAATGATATCTACCATATTTTGTTTTCTTAGATCATGCTTTTAAAAGCAATCTTGCCTTTCACCGTGGTACAGTCTGCGGGCCATAGCAGCTGTGTGTTCAAGGTCACCATGCACTTTCAAACCGTATCCCCTGCTCTGAGCCAGTGTGAGTGACAGGGCGTTGGTATGAGCACTCTGCTGCAGAATCAGTGAGATGTAACTCTCACACCGCCCCCTTTTAAGACAGACATAAAATGCTTAGCTCTTCTCATGCGTTTCATAAAACCATAAGCTTAGTATTTGCAAACTGAGACCCTTTCCAGTTGTAAAAATGAAAGAAAAACACACAAGTAAATGAGTTTTTAGATTGCCCCCTCATTCTTAGAATAGTCTACAAACATTCTCCCCTCATTGTTCATAAGGTCCAAGAACGGTGAGCTCATTGCTGGAGTCCACTTGAACTGTAAATGTTTAATCAGAGTCCAACACCGTGAAGCTCCTCTGCTTCTCGCCACAGGAGGTGGGAACTAAGAACAGGAGCTGAGAGGTAGAGCACTCCGTGTTTTTAGATCCCAGGGTAACAGAAAAATCCCTGGCCAGAAGCAGCACGCCTGTCTATGTGACATTTCTAGCTCATAAATACCAAATGAAGAGGCAGTTGAGCTAAGTAAAAAAAATACACTGATGTGTATTCCACTAATGTGGAAGAATGACAGTATTCAAGTTAAACAGAACAGTTATGTCAGCCAGAAGCTATAAATAAATCAGTTTGCCCAATACATTCCCAGTTGTGATGACCTATCGTACATGGAGCTCCCAGCCAAGTACTGCTTACTGGCTGGGCTCGGTGAGACACGAAGCCCTTGTTCGCGTCTGCCACAGGCCTTACCTGCGAGCAGGTGAACGGAGCTGAAGCTCTTCTCCAGTTTACCCAGAAGTACAGTGAGAAAACAGTCTGAAGACAGGGAGGCAACATCTTGGGAGCTCTGGTCATAAACGACCACCTTCTGACTGCAATCAATATCAACCTGCAATGCAAACGTGAGGCGGTTAGGAAGGCAGCTCCCACAGTCCTCTGGTGCCGAAGCAAATAACTGCTTCCCGCCTGCAGTTAATAATCCGAATAAAAATGAGATGCTGTCAATTTTCTGGGTAAACCTAGCATACAAATGGCTCAATGCTTGTGAAAATCAACTTTTAAAAGGCAAAGTTGATGTTATTTCTGTGTAGGTGTACTCCAAACTCCTTGGTTTAAAATCCTTTACACTGTGAAAGGCTAAAACTCATAAGAGAGTACTTAAAATAGACATAACAACCCTTGAACTAAAGAAACATTTAAGGGGCGCCTGGGTGGCTTAGTCGGTTAAGCATCCGACTTTCACTTAGGTCATGATCTCGCGGTTCGTGGGTTCGAACCCCGCGTCAGGCTCTGTGCTGACTGCCAGCTCAGAGCCTGGAGCCTGTTTCAGTCTGTGACTCCCTCTCTCTCTGACCCTCCCCTGCTCACGCTGTCTCTCAATCTCTCCTAGAAATAAAAATATATTTAAAAAAAAAAAAGAAACATTTAAAAAGGTTTCTACAAAGCAAATAAATCAGTTGTTTGGTAAAATTAAAACATGAGCTCATTTTTATTCCTGAAGAAAAGAGCCAGCCTTACTCACCATGAGGACAACATTTTGGTATCCCAGAGATAACTTCCCTCAAGATAACATCCCTAAATCATGAAAAATGGTACCTTCCCTTCCCACAAATAAACGTATAGTTAGTTTCCACTTTCTTCCCAAGGCACTTATAAAGAATGATCTTGTTCCAGTAAATTTGTAGATGATACAAAATGATGTATTAATCTAGTAACTGTTGATAAGCGTATTATAAATTATTGTACATTAAGTTACTAATAATTAATATCATGTATTAACTATATTAGTATTTAATTTTTGTTAAAGTTTGCCAAACCATTAATAGGAAAACACAGCATCTGACCAAATTAAAACAAGTTACCCTTTCTGTATAGTTTAGAAATATTCTTAAATATGACAGTGTGGTTAGTAAATTACTTGGAGGTATTCCTTAGGTACCAAGGTTGAAAGAGCCACCAAAACTTGCTCAGATTACTTTTTCGCCTAAAAATGAAACTTCGTTTTACAATTATTCCTCATTCCAAGTGTCTATTTTAAAAAGGAAAAAGAAAGCAAGCGTTTACCTTATGTTTTGCTGAATGCTGGATAAGCTCTGTAATTAACACTTTGTCCTGTTGCAACCTTCGCTTCATAAGCTTGGAACAGTTGATATTAATGGCTTCCAAAATGTGGGACGTATTGTATTCCACAAATGGCCGGCTATCAATTAGCAGCACTTTTTCCGTTCCACTTTCCAGCAGAGCCACCAACCTCTCAGTAACAATTTGAGTTCCAATCATCTCATGGGCCATGACAACAATAAGTCTTCTTTTCCCACCTCCTCCTTTAATTTGCCACGATGATGTAATGGTGGTGTACTCAAAGGCTCAGCCACTCCATTGTACTAAAAATGTATGAGGTCAGGCTGGTGGTGACTGGCAAAAGGAGAGTTAAACCCATTTTCAGCAAGAGCCCTCCAAGTGAATGTCCCTTTCTCTTTCCCCGTTGATGTGCTCTTGCAAAGGATTCCTTCCACAAAGCAGCCCCTCACATTTGATTCATAAAGAGATGACTGGAATAACCATTCCACAACAAAAGATGCTTTGGGGCAGCCAGCACATTACATCATTCTTTACCTTTGCTCCTCGCTCCAACAGCTTTATGCTGGACTGAAAATCCTACACGAACAGGGAGACAGAAAACAAAACATGGGGTCAAAATAAAGAAAGAGCATCAGATTAGAGAGAGCGTATGATTCATAATATTTACTCCATTAATCTAATTCCATACTTGATGCACTGTTTCATTTGAACAAACAAAAAGAACAAACAGGCATGGCTTTGGAAAATCCTACTGGTGGTAATTCACTTTTATATCCAAATATAAAAACTCGAAGAAGATGAAAGAAGACACAGTCATGAATTATAATGACCTGAGGCCCAGAACTACATGCCTGTAGTATGAGATTGAAAGAGCTATAAAAAGCTGCCTAAAATAATATTTTTTCCAAATGGATCCCTGCAATTTATTTGCTTATTTCCTGAAAGGAGCACAAAGAACAGCCTGCAACCAGGTGAGCAAGCACATACTATCAAGACAAAGTCTTTTCTGAAGGCTTGAGAACCGCTGTGACAGTAGGAGAGAGAGAGTGTGTGTGTGTGTGTGTGTGTGTGTGTGTGTGTGTGTGCGCGCGTCCGCGCGCACCCGCACGACTGGACGTGTGTGCACACCCGGGCACAACAGCAGCCCCTTTAAATTGCCCTGGGAAAACCTTTTCATAAATTTCAGCTGCCTTTTAAGGAAAAGAAGGGACAAGAATGGCTGATATCCTGGTCATACCAACTGCTGAGCCAATTGCTGGGGAAGTGTGAGGTGCCCAGCTCCATCCGAGGTGGTCCCACAGCTATGTGATCCTGGCTGGTCCATCCTTCAGTTCCCTGACCCTTCACAGACTTACCCCTCATCTTCTTATGCCTCATTCTTAAGAGAATCACTGACTCCCAACCTCAGAAAATCTCACATCTCAACCTGGGACTCTACGTCAGCAACCATACAGAACCCTGATTACTGGGCCCAGGGCTTCCTTATTCTTGCCAAACTCCTATAACTGACCACTTCCTATATTTATACATATATAAATAAATAACTTTATTTATGTTATTTTACTTGTATTTGAGAAAGAGAGCATAAGCAGGGGAGAGCGCAGAGTGGGAGAGAGAAAATCTTAGGCAGGCTTCACACTCAGCACAGAGTCTGACGCAGGGCTCCATTCCCTGACCCTGGGATGACGATCTGAGCCAAAATCAAGACTCAGACGTTCAACTGACTGAACCACCCAAATGCCCCAACTGGCGACTTCCTAACTGACACTAGTTGGAGGTTTGCACCCATAGCTTGGACCTCACCCTGACCTTCAATATTCTCAGACTCCTAGCTCCGTAGTCCATCCCCGCTCATAGGAAATCCTCTACACTACACAACACCAGATGTCCGCTGCTGGCATTCACCTTCTCCAGGGCAAACTATTTGATGGCAGAGACTTTGTATTACATTTCCCACCTCTATCGTGCTTCCTCCCTCCACAGTGCATAAGATACTCAATTCACGGGGCACCTGGGTGGCTTGGTTAAGCGTCTGACTTTGGCTCAGGTCATAATCTCATGGTTCGTGGGTTCGAACCAGGCTCTGTGGTGACTGCCAGCTCAGAGCCTGGAGCCTGCTTCAGATTCTGTGCCTCCCTCTCTCTCTGACCCTCCCCTGCTCACACTGTCTCTATCTCAGAAATAAATAAAACATTTTTGTAAAAAAGATACTCAATTCACACTATTATAAGAAAGTAAAATCCTCCACAGATGATTGAAGATACTAAGTATTCAATTAACTGAGTTCTGATCAGGATGGTAAAACCCTCAAACATCACTGGGTCCTATTCCTAATTTCAGACTTACAGATTAGAAACTGAAGCATGGAGAAGTGGAGGGAGAATACAAAGAGAAGTGGCCATGCCATTTACTTCTTACTCAATTTTGGAAAGTTATATAACTTCTCTGAACCACAGTTTCCTCATCTATGAAATGTAGATATAACATAGGCCTTATCTCTTCACAAAGTCTGTCTGGAGGACAAAATTACTGAAGTTATTTACAGTAAGTAAACATGCAACTACCCAGCTGCCTGGGTGGCTCAGCTGGTTAAGCATCCAACTCTTGAATTCAGCTCAGGTCATGATCCCAGGGTCGTGGGATCAACCCCCACGTTGGGCTCTGTGTTGAGCATGGAGTCTGTTTGGGATTCTCCTCCTCTCGCTCCTTCCCTCTGACCCTCTCCCCTACTTGCACTATAAGAAATTTTTTTAAAAAATGCAACTACTCATCATATAAAGGAAGGAGGAAAAATACCTTAAAGATGCCAATGGTGGACAGAGCTGCCTTGCACCTGGAATCTAAAAGACGTCATTTTGTCGAGAAACACAGAAGCAACTCCACCCTCCTATATGGCCCAGCATCAACCAAGCCACACCCTCTCCTTTAGAGCCAGACACACATGGGTTAGAAAGCTCCTGAGAAATCATTTCTGCCCTTGCACCTTACAAATCAGCTCCATAGAGAATATATTATTTGTCCATCCTTTGTCTTCATTAGTTTAATATATTTAGTTTTAGTATGGCTTACTGGCTATGAGGTATAGAATATCATCTCTGTCTTCAACTGAAGAAACCAGAGCAGAGAAGCTGTCCTAGTCAATCAATGAATATACTTTGGCAAAGCACCTGCCAAGGATATGGCATTGAATCAAGTCCTGACTACTGGGTGACATAGTTCACAGCAGTCTAAGGTCCTGTACTCAGATTGTCTGATTCCCAAACCAGGGCTCCCACTACTGGTTTACCCTGTTTTCCCCCAAGCACCCGTTCCCGTAATGAAACTGGACTGAGAAAGAATGGCTCGACTTGTCCACGAGGGTGCCCAGGTGGCACAGAAAGTAGAAATCTGAGAACAAGAGCAAGCTGATTCCAACAATGGCACTGAGTATCCGAGTCTGATTGGCTCCTCTCAATGATAAAATCCGGATGGGACAAAGCAGTTATCTGGGTTAGCAGATCAAGGAACAAAGGGAGGGAGAAGACAGCAAACATGCAAAAGTTGAATGAGAAAGTTCTCATCTTTGCTTCCCTTCAGCCCAATCTCCTTAGCCCAAAGCACTGAAACCAAAGACCGACTACAGCAATCAGTTCTCCTGGGCAGAGAATGGACAACCTTACCCAGAGAGCCAGAATCAGGAGTTCCAGATGCAGAAAGAACCTTTCCCCCCCCGCAACCAAGAAAAGGTCTGGGCAAAGTGACCTCATATGAGGATGTAATGGAAGCGAAGCACTGAACGTGAAATGATGATGAAGTCACACCTCTGTGTGTCGTACTGAGGCTAGCTGGAGCCTCCTGTCACACCTTTATGCCCAAGGTCTGGCTTTCTGTAGTTCCAAACAGATTTATGTGAGAGGCAGAGCCCTGTTGAGGGGGCGTGGGAGGTGGGGGAACAATACAGCCTTAAACCTTGTTTATTTACCGCTAGAGAACTTTGGCTAGGCCCTTGTCCTAGGCTGCAACCCTAATTTAGATATTTCTGAGCATTCACTGAATGCTCCTAAAGAATGTCAGTACCTTGAGATCGGGAACATGTCTGTGACAGTTTTGTTTTTTAAACCTTCTGCATCAGGTAGAATTTAAAAGATGACAAGAGACTATTTATTGTTGGCAAAACCACAAGCTAATCTCACCCAAAATTTCTACAAGAAGTCAAAAGGAATAAACATTCTTAGAACTGAACTGTAATAGGGTGCCCGGGTGGTTCAGTTGGTTAAGCGTCTGACTTCAGCTCGGGTCATGATCTTGCGGTTTGTGAGTTCAAGCATTGGGTTCTGTGCTGACAGCTCAGAGCCTGGAGCCTGCTTCAGGTTCTGTGTCTCCCTCTCTCTCTGCCCCTCCCCTGTTCAGGCTCTGTCTCCCTCTCTCTCTCAAAAATAAACATTTAAAAAATTTTTAAAAAAGAATTGAACTGTAAGGGCTCAAGTGCATATAACAAAACCCAGGACAGAGCAGCTTTACTATTTACTGATTTACTTAAACATCTAATTTTGAAAGTTTTAACTATTTTCTTTCCATTTTTAATAGGTAACATATTCACAAGGCTCAAAGAAAAGTATAAAATGTACACATACTATGAATGTGTACAGTTTATTGTCTGTTACACTTCAACAAAGCTACTAAGGATTGCCAAGAAACTGAAACTTCAAGATATACCTTACATGAAAAGCATAAATACACTGGAAATCCTTCTCCGATCATTGTCCATCTGCCCAGGTCTCCCCCCTGCCCTCTACTGGAAACATGGTCAATAGTTTCTTCTGATTTCTTCCAAAGATTTTTTGTAATGAATACAGAATAAGATACAAATATATATTCTTTCCCTTTGTTCAACCAGTTACACAGTATATAAGCTTGTTGTGCATCCTGTTTTATTTCACTTAAATACAATTTTATTTTTTTCCCCATATTTAATTAGAATATGATACAATCTATGTATCTTCCATACATGCGCTTTTGGAAATCTAAATAAAACACAGAAAGGGGCGCCTAGGTGGCTCAGTCAGTTGAGTTATCCAACTTTGGCTCAGGTCATGATCTCATAGTCCATGAGTTCAAGCCCCATGTCAGACTCTGTGCTGACAGCCTGGAGCCTGGAGCCTGTTTTGGATTCTGTGTCTCCCTCTCTCTCTGCCTCTCCCCCACTTGCAATCTGTCTCTGTGTCTCAAAAAAGAAATAAACATTAAAAAAATTTTAATTAAAAAAATCTTTTAAAAACATAGAGAAATACTTCACCTTAAAAGACAACTCCTCTTTCCCCTAGCATTACACCTATTCAATCAGCTGTTTACCTGAGGACCCAGAAGCTGAAGGGTAATTCTTAACAGCATGCTTGAAAGCTCAGCAAACGGTTTTGTGGCATTCCAACAAGACAGTGTCCTCCACAACTACTCTGGCTTAAGAGAAATTTAAAATATGACATGCACGTTCATGAAGTATGGAATTATCTCTTAAAGGGCACCCTGTTGTGACTCTGGCCGTTCTCACCCAAAGACGGGGCGGCATCACAAGTTCCCGGGGAAGGGGTTACCTGCAT